GCGCTTTGTTTAATGTTCCTGAAGTGTCCTTTTTCCAGAAATGATTTATTGGAGACCTAGAATGCTTTTCTTCTTACTCAACACTCCCCTGGGGACATAGTTAAAACACCACTCTGAGCTGTAGTTCTCCCAGGTGGGGAAGTGGCCGGTGGTGGCAATGAAACCAAAGCCCAGATTTGAGCAACTGTGGGCTGTTGACTTGATGCTAGTCTTTCATAAAGGGAACCCACAAAACACCATGGCCATTCAGCAAACAGTGTGCATTTCATCTGAGCCTGGCTGGCTTTGCGCTTGCCTTTCTTCAGGCTAGAATGATCCTAACCAGCAATGTCTTTGTGTCATGATGCAGACAGTTGGCAAGTTGGCATGAGGATAATGCTGAGTGTAACTTCTGAGTGTGTGTGGTGGGGAGGGGCGGGTCAGGGAGAGAAATAAAGCTCTTCACAATGGCTAGTGGTTCTCTCTCATGATGTCTTTCCCAACAGAGATCAATCATTATGCATTGTCTCTGCGGGAGTGAATACAACATATTATTTTTGAGTAAAAAATTAAGATTTCTTTTGGTGGCAAAGTATATGGAAAAATAGAAACTCTCTGTACTTATTTTTTTTATTTTTATTTAAAAGCCTCCAGAGACATTCTTCTGTGAGAAGAAGAATGACATAATAGTCTCTAAAGATTAAACTGTTTTGATGATAGAAATATTCAATATTAAATCCATTAGAACTACTAGGAAATTGTTACCAACATTTTAAAAATTTCTTGTATGTAGTGAGCTTTGTTGATTATCTACTCAACAAAATATCTTCCCCTTCTTCCTAAAAGAATTTTAATTTTTCTTACCTTTCATCTAGCCAAGTGCCTAAAGGAAGCTGATCTCAACTGCAAAGACAAGTCTGGTTGGTTTGAGCAGGGAGAATATGGTCAATAATAGTGTGATAAGTTTACATGGTGACTTATGATGCCATCTCTCCATCTGCCAACCACTCGGGAATGGACATATAATTCAATTCTGGCCAATAAGATGTAAGCAAAAATTTGCTGAATGGTTCTGGGAAGTTATCCCTTGCTATCAGAAAACCACAGGAATCCAGCCTTTTTCCAACCACATGAATACTTGGATGAAGAAAATCAGGAAGCACATATTCTCAATTGCTCCTGCAGTCGTCCCATGTCCATAAGAGGTATAAAATTGAGGCCAATGAATTGAGCCAGTGACTCAATCAATACTTTTTAAAAATGAGGCTACAGAACCCGAACCCTGAACCATGCAGATGTGAAAGGGGTTTCCACAAACCGTGACCTTCTGGTTCATAGGTCAATACTCAACCACTGAGCTATGCCAGCTGAGCCACATTTGATTTTTAAGACTGTATTCAATACAATGCAAACTGGTTAATTGTACAGAAGCCTTAGGCTCTCCCTTATCTATTATCTATCTATCTATCTATCTATCTATCTATCTATAAGCCAAGCAATCATGACAACCAGAATGACTAGCCAACCAGCCCAATCGGGGACAGGGTTGGCCAGCCAACCTCCCGTGGCCCCTCCACCCAGCCAGCCTGGCCCCAATCAGCTCCAATCAGGACAGGCCATCCAGACTCCATCTGTGCACAAATTTGTGCACATGGCCTCTAGTTGGATATATTAGGAAACTAGTTTTCTTCTACATATATTTATCTTTATAATGTAACATATCCAGAATTGATAAATATGTAACATAGTCCTAGTAGTTAAGACAAGATTTTGGAGACAGAAACTCTTTAAATACAGTTTTATTTTTACCTTTGAGTAATTCGGTGAAATTGAATGAGTTCTGATATTTCTCATCCAAAAAATAGGGATAATATAATTCACTTTCACAAGCTGTTACAGGATTGAGTTTATCTCTACCCATTAAGTTAAGTTCATATTCACCAATGGATTGTGACCACCAAAAACACAGCCTTAACTCACAGCATAAACTCTGATATTAAGAATTATGGGCACATGACAAATGAGCAGTATGTGGAGTATCTGTGTGTGTAAACCACTGAGCAATGATGATACTGAGCAAAAGCTCAATAAGTGGTAGCTATTAACAATAATGACTAAGGATAACCATATTTTTTATCCTGTGACTCCATCACTGTGAAGAAATGCAGAAATCTAGCATGTAATACTTCTTGCTCTCTCGTTAGTGTAGGGGTTTTCTCCAGTGCTTCCCAAATCACCCATGTGTCATGGGCCATGGTGCTTAAAGTATGCAATAATACTGTAATACATATTTCTAAATCTTCAAGGTGTTGTGTGTGTGTGTGTGTGTGTGTGTGTGTGTGTGTGTATGGAGAGAGAGATGGAGAGAGGGGGGAGAAAAAGAGAGAACTGGCTTCTCTCTTCTTGTTAAAGGAATTTCTTTAAAAAATAAATATACTAAAAAATAATGACAGGAAACTTCACAAAATCTAAAGAGGATGTCAGGAAGTACAGGATGTGAGGTCTTTTCATTTCCTTCAGTGTTTTTCTTACTAATCATATATATATTTATAACTTTAAAAAGCAGGAAGGTTCACTTAAGACCCAGTTTATAAAATAAAAAAGCTGTGACAATAAAGAACCAGTTAAACACTTTCTATGTTATAAACAGCATTTAAGTCTCTGATCCTACATTATTGGACATCTTAATAGGACTTTTCACATTTATTCTTATTCCTTTATAAAACTGTTTCCTTCTCAGGCACGTCATGCCAATATGAAAAGGATATAAAATCACAGTGCCTGAATTAGAAACTAATAAGGAAAGTTGTGGTTTTGTTTTGTTTTTAATTATTCTGATCATTACTTTTTACCAGAAGACAGCTTTCATACACAAGCAAGAGCCTGGACAAATTAACAAATATTTAAACCAGAAAACCCAATTCTCCCTTTTGAAAAATGAGGCTACAGGGCTTGTAGAAACAGAGATCAAAAGGTATGCTTACCAGAAGGGAGAAAGTGTGTATGTGTGTGTATGTGGAGGGGTGGGGGGAGAGAGAACAGGTGAAAAGAGCAGGGGGAATATGGTCAATAATACTGTGATAACTTTACATGGTGACTTATGATTACCAGAATTAGTCAGTGATCACATTGTAAGGTATAAAACATAGAATCACCATATTGTATACCTGGAACAATATAACCAAAGTAAGGTTGCATGCCATTAGGAACATCAGTACTTCCATTGTCTTAGCAATGGGAAGGGTGAATATTCTATTTTTCTGTATGCATCTGAAAATGAGCATGTTGCCTGCAGATTTTTCTCCATGAAGTGGGGAATTGCCTCCTGGGGTAGGCACCCAGTAGCACATTTCCTCTCAGACATTGAAACACAACTTATCTATAAACAAATTTCTAGAATTTCTATTGGGCCTAAAGCCAGAACAAACCAAAAAAATGGCTTTTAGTCTTCTGCTTTGCTGAACAGATAGAGATGAAGGTTATAGGTAGGCTTGTCTCTGTAATTGACTTATTAATACCTTGAGAGTCAAAAAAATAAAGTACAGTCCATCTTTTAGTAATTTAGGATCTAAGTTAAACAGTTCAAATGGGCACAAATTTAGCTCCATCCAGAGAGTTAGATTTGAGAGGCAGGAAGTTGCTTGATATTAAAAGCAGCCTCTCCTTTACTTAGTAGAATTCCATGTGAAAGTATATGGAAGACATATGTTGTTTTCATCTACCCAATATCTCTTGCTCTGGGAAAATACCATTCCCCACTTCCATGTGGTTTGAAAAGGGCTGCCAATCACTGTACCCTGCCCCAACAAAGGATACAGGTTTGGCCAATCCTCAAATTCTTTTTTCCTAAAATTAAGAGACTGATATTGCAATAAATATGCTTTCTTTCCCCTGGATCCAAACTAGGGCAGAGATCCCAGAGCTACCACCTGCCATCTTCACTGTGCATGGAGGAGGTAGAAGAGGGCTGCTGCCAAGGAGAATAAGACAGAGAAAAAGAAGGGAGAGCTGAGAGGCTGAGAGGAAGAGGATAGGGAGGAGAATAGGGAGATGGGAGGGGAAAAGGAAGAAGAGAAGTGGGTGGGAAGTAAGAGAGTAAGTTTAACCTAATCTCAATGAAACTGTGATTAAACTTCCTAGATATTCAATTCCACAATTTTCCATCTCTGTTCAAGCTAGTTTGAATGAGGGGTCTGCAACTGAGAGAGTCCTCCTGAATACAGTAGCTGATGTTCAATCATTCCTTCAGTCAACAAATGTTTATTACATGCCTACTATGTGCCAGACACTAAATGGGTACAGAGTTGGAATGAACAAGGGAGGCACATGGTCCTTGCTTTCATAGAATTTATATTCTGGTTGTGGAAATAATCATTATACACATACACACAGTTCCATTTGAATGCATATATATTCAATTTTTCATCTTGTAGATGATATTATAAGAATAGGATCCTGAGAAATGGCATTAGAGGAGAATGAGGTGGTGGTCTACAGTGTTCTTACGATACCATCATAATTAAACCAAATATTAATACTAGATAAGAAGAAAAGGAAGGCCAGATATTATAGGCGTGTCATTTAGACATCTTCACCAGGAAGCTACAACAACTTTGTGCTCCCCAGGGGTCCAACTGCATGCCCAGTGAAGTTGGGATGACTAGGAAGGGTGCTTGCTGTCAGTCACACCTGGGCACAGTGGTCATTGGACAGAATGGGGATGGCCACTGCAACCACATAGAAATTGGGATATTAATCCCCTGATCTAAGTTAAATTGTTCAAAGGGTCATAACTTAGCTCCATCCCCTGACAAAGGAGTTCACACTCTTGATTCCTCTTGGTGTCATTTTGCTTTCAGGACCCTTGGGATTTTGTTGCTTGGGGCACACTCTCCTGAATTCTCTCTTGTGGCCCATAGCTATGCAGATCCCACACACACAGGACTAATGGAGTATAGCTATCTTGGGGGGAAAAACTGACACTGACTTTGTTTCTAGCTTTACTGGAACCCCAGCTATACTTCTGTGACTAGACAAGGGGAAATGGGACTTTGGAAACACAAAGATGTAATTCCATCCAAATAAAAATCACTCGTTCTCCGTGTGAGTCTCAGACAATTCTTTTTCTCAAGATATTGTAAGGACTTCACCCCCCAGCACCCAGTGAAGAAAAGGACCCCCACTTCATCTGACAACAATTAGAGTAATACTTATAAAATGGAGTGTGTGAATTGTGATTTAGAAATGCAGATGAGGCAGAAATAAAGAGAGCAATCCTTATCAGCAAGGAAGTAGTAACTATCTTTATTCCTCAAGGGTTATCATGCAAATCAAATGAGAAAATATGGCTAATGCACATTGGAAAAGAGGAGTATGTTATTCAACTTCAATGTGTGTATGGTAGTGAGAATAACAGGACAACCTGGTGCACATATTAGGAGGCCTGGACTTGGTCTCATGGTCAGGGAGGCATTGAAGAGGCCAAAGCTGGAAAAACAAGTGAAGATTAATGGCCCACTAATAGTCACGGAGAGGATTGTTTGCATTTATAAAAGACCCGAAACACAATCTTTACTTACTTACTTATTTTATCCTTTAATGTGTCACTGAGTGCATTCTAGTCCAACATTCATTGTTCAACAATTTTCTAATGAAAAAGCTCTCAGTAATGTTTAACATATTAATATGTTTTTTAAACCCCTTCAGGTGTTTTTGCTTTTCATTTCCCATGCCCTCCTCACAAAACACCTTTAGGTCATTTTCAAAAGAAGTATAAATAAATAAATAAATAAATAAATAAATAAATAAATAGCAAAGGAGGCACTACCTTTTCTCTAATTCTTGAGTGAACTTGTCAAAACCCAATTGTAAAAATAATACACTAGTACTGTGAAAACTTCAAGTAGTATAGAAGGACATAAAGTAAAAGATTCCTTTTCCACCCACCCCTATTTTTTCTTGCCCAGTTTACTCTGAATCCTTCTGTGGTAGGGAGTTAGGTAGACATGAGCAGAGCAAAGATGGGCCAGTTACAGAAGGTCACCATTGCAGAACATTGGACACCTACCAATGAAAAAGAACTGGTAGAGCAGATATTGGAGATACTAGGAAATATTGTCATTCAGGATCTTGCTCCTAAGACCCCCTCTTCACCCTAGAGTGCCTCTAGTCATGCATGTCGGAATCTCCTGACCTTTTCTCCCCTAACATGTGGTTAATCCTATGCTAGACACCCCACCCTTAGAGTAGAACAACAGGGCTGGAGGGCCGCCCCATGTAACTTCATGCAGGGACAGAAGACGACAGGACAGGCCCTAATAGGTCAGTTTTTTTTTTGGTTTTTTTTTTATTCTTTTTTGGTTTATTTTATTTTTATTTTTTATTTATTTATTTATTTATTTTTTATTATTATTTTTTAAATCAATCTTTATTGTTCATATTATTACACAGGTTCCTCATTTCTTCCCCCCTCCACCAGGTTCCCACCCCACCCTCTGCCCCCTCATCCTCATCCATTGGTGCACAGTTTATGTTCAGTCTCTTCCTCCCTCCCTTTCCCCGATAGTAAATCCCTTTTCAGATAGCAAATCTGTTACTTAGCATTTTCTCATATCAATAATACCTCCACATGCCCAATGATACACTTCACACAAAAGACATTTCCTAATAGTACAACCAGCCTCATCCAGGCCCCACCCAAGGTACTCACAGATCAATACCCCAGGACTATACTAACTCAACACATCCAGATCTAAGCCTTCATCACTTGATTCAGCAGACCCTCAAGTTCCCGCAAAAGTTTCCAGCCATGTTTGAGAGGCAGCCGTGGGGCAGGGGCAGGCAAGGAGCGAGCTGTTCCGGGCCTGGCTGCTCCGGGCCTGGCCTCTGTTGCTCTGGTTCGTTCCACAACCAGCTGCTCCGTGTCTGGTCACTGCCGCTCCTGACCCAGTTGCTCTGGACTTGGCTGTTGCTGCTACAGGCCTGGCCACACCCGACTCGGCTGCTCTGGGCCCAATTGCTCCGGGCCCCGCCGTTCCGGGCCTGGCCGCACCCAGCCTGGCAGCCGCTGCTCTGGGCCTGGCCGCACCGGACCCGGCTGCTCCGGGCCTGGCCGCTCCCAGCCTGGCAGCCGCTGCTCCAAGCCTGGCCGCTCCCAGCCTGGCAGCCACTGCTCCGGGCCTGGCCACACCAGACCCGGCTGTTCCGGGCCTGGCCGCTCCCAGCCTGGCAGTTGCTGCTCCGGGTCTGGTCACTGCCACTCCCGACCTAGTTGCTCTGGACTTGGCTGTTGCTGCTACAGACCTGGCCACACCCGACCCGGCTGCTCTGGGCCCGGTTGCTCCGGGCCCAGCCACTCCGGGCCTGGCTGCTCCCAGCCTGTCAGCCGCTGCTCCTGGCCTGGCCGCACCAGACCCAGCTGCTCCGGGCCTGGCTGCTCCCAGCCTGGCAGCCGCTGCTCCGAGCCTGGCCGCTCCCAGCCTGGCAGCCTCTGCTCTGGGCCTGGCCACACCAGACCCGGCTGTTCCAGGCTTGGCCGCTCCCAGCCTGGCAGTCGCTGCTCCGGGTCTGGTCACTGCCACTCCTGACCTAGTTGCTCTGGACCTGACTGTTGTTGCTATAGGCCTGGCCACACCCGACCCAGCTGCTCTGGGCCCGGTTGCTCCGGGCCCGGCCGTTCCGGGCCTGGCTGCTTCCAGCCTGGCAGCCGCTGCTCCGAGCCTGGCCACTCCCAGCCTGGCAGCCACTGCTCCGGGCCTGGCCACACCAGACTTGGCTGCTCCGGGCCTGGCCGCTCCCAGCCTGGCAGCCGCTGCTCCGAGCCTGGCCACTCCCAGCCTGGCAGCCACTGCTCCGGGCCTGGCCGCACCAGACCCGGCTGCTCCGGGCCTGGCCGCTCCCAGCCTGGCAGTCGCTGCTCCGGGTCTGGTCACTGCCACTCCCGACCTAGTTGCTCTGGACTTGGCTGTTGCTGCTACAGGCCTGGCCACACCCGACCCGGCTGCTCTGGGCCCGGTTGCTCTGGGCCCGGCCGTTCCGGGCCTGGCAGCTCCCAGCCTGGCAGCCGCGGCTCCTAGCCTGGCCGCTCCCAGCCTGGCAGTCGCTGCTCCGGGCCTGGCCGCACCAGACCCGGCTGCTCTGGGCCCAGTTGCCCCGGGCCCGGCTGCTCCGAGCCTGGCCGCACCCGGGCTGGATGCTTTGGGCTTGGCTTCTGCTGTTCTGGGCCTGGCTGCTCCCAACCCGGCTGCTCTGGGCCCGGCTTCTTCGGGCCCGGCCACTCCGGGTCTGGGTGTTCCTGGACTGGCCACCCTGGGCTTGGCCGCCTCTGCCTCAAGCCTGGCTGCCCCTGCCCCAGGTCTGGCTGCTCCAGTGCTGGCCGTTGATGCTCTGGTTCTGGCTGCTGCTGCTCTGGGGCCTGGCTGCTGCTGCTCCGGGTCCGGCTGCCACTGCCTTGTGCCTGGCCACTCTAGGTCTGGTCGCCGCTGTTCCAACATTCTGTCCCTTTTTCTTTCTTTCTTTCTTTCTTTTTTTTTTTTTTTTTTTTTTTTTTTAAAAAACACATTTATGTTGCAATGTTGGCTGGTGAGTTGAGTTCTGACTTAGTCTTTGATTTTTCAAGATATTCTTTGCATTCTTTCTTAAGTAATTTTACTATCATTTCCTCTCACTTGATTTCTTCACATTGAGAACTTCTGTGGTTTCTTCCTCCCCGTCCTGGAATCTCAGCAGGTTGGCCTGTGGCACCCCTTTGTTCTCCGCGGGCTCCTGCGCTGCTTCAGCCTGTCGCCCGGGTTGGAGCCGCCCAGGAAGCATCCCGGTCCTTGGCTCCATTGCCTGCGCTCAGCGGTCGAGGGCTCAGGGGCACCCCCACCCCTGGGGGCCCCGTCACCTGGCTCCTTGCTGGCACCCGGCTGGCCGGTGTCCAGCGGGGGCTCCTGCTCCTCGTCAAGATCCTCCAGTCTGGAGCTTTCTTTCTCTCTCCCGCTAGGGGAGTCCAGGATCAGAGTCAACAGACTGTCCTCTGCGCGCAGTGTGCGCGACTCGGGGGCTCGGCCTTTCGCCGCGCTCCCAGGACTCCACCTCACAGCCCCGTCTCCCACTGCCCAGCCTGGGTCCCCAGGGACTGGCCCAGACCGGGAGTTCGGGGCGGTCCGGTCTGAGGCTCAGCGCCGCCGGAGGCTTTGTTTCTTCTGGCTAGGGTAATCCAGCATCAGAGTCAACATTCAGTCCTCTGCGCACAAAGCGCGCGACTCCGGGGGACCCCGCCTTTCGCGCCATCCCCGGGATTTCGCCTCACAGCCCCATCTCCCCGTGCCCGGGCCTGGGTCCCCAGGGACTGGCCCAGACCGGGAGTTCGGGGCGCTCCGTTCTGAGGCTCAGCGCCACCGGAGGCTTTGTTCCTTCCGGCTAGGGTAATCCAGCATCAGAGTCTACATTCAGTCCTCTGCGCACAAAGCGCGCGACTCCAGGGGCCCCCGCCTTTCGTTTTTCCCCTGGGATTCAGCCTCCCAGCCCCGTCTCCCCCTGCCGGAGCCTGGGTCCCCAGAATCTGGCCCATAATGGGGCTCAGCGCTGCCGGTTCGGGGGTTCAGCCCAGGCTGGGGGTTTTATTTCCTTCCTGCTAGGGAACGCCAGGCAGCATCCAGCCCTCTCCTCCTCTCCGGCTGCGACCTCTCGGTGCGCGCGTACGTGTGAGCGCGCAGCATGTCTCCGTACCTTAGGCTCTTTTTTCAGCTCCTCTGACTTTCCCTCTGGCTTTCTCCCACCTTCCTATTGTAGAGTTTTCAGTCAGTCGACCACCTGTAGGTCTGGGCAATGTCCACTCTACATTTTAGTTGTATTCCATTGAAATTGTTGTGAGCTGCTGCGGTTAGGTGTCTATCCAAGCAGCCATCTTGGATCCTCCCCTAATAGGTCAGTTTGAAGAAGAAAGCAGTTAACTCCCCTCCGAGGGTTTAAAATGAATTCTAGCCCACTCGCCAAAGTGGCTCAAAGAGCTGCCCACTTGAAATTTCTCTTTGAGTGTACTTTCTTTTTGCTTTCCCAAATAAATCTCTAGCATGTTTAAGTCTTGACTCTCTATTCTTTTCTTAGCCAGAGCTCAAGTACCAAGGTTGCTGAACCTAGGTTTGATCTGTTGGTCTGACCCCACCCACCAATCAGACACCTGGTGCC